AAGCAGTGGTATCAACGCAGAGTACTAGTGGACTAGGAGATCTTCTCGGTTCCGGTTTTAAGTCAGTTGTTTGCACTTGGTCGCTGGAGATGTCAGGACGGCTACTGGAATCGAGAAGATTGCTCCGGAAGGTGGGAGTGTGTTCACGGTTAGAATGACCCCGCCTACTTGGTGTTTCCCTCTTGCGTTAGAGCCCCTTTTCGCCGTTTTCGCGTTCTTCAGTGTTGATCTTCAGATTCAGCATAGCGGATAGGCTCGGGTAAGCAAAAAATCTCAAAACCGACTTTTTGCCCGGACACTGCCTATAATGCAGTTTGCCCCGAGGGGGATGTAGAGCTAGTGGACTGAGGCTAATCTCCGTGCCTGTTTGTACAAAGTCGAAGAAATCCGCAAAATCTTGTTGAATACGGTTTGTTGTCGAAAGGATATTTAGACGTCTTGCTTTTGCATCTGATATTTCTTCGCCCCTCACTGGTTCCTGACATCTGCCATCTCAAGCGGCAGACGAATACGATGTGCGGAAACTGCAGAATTCAATATAAAGTCGAGGAAAACTATAAATTCTTCCGCCACACCCTAATTAGCCAGCCTGGAGCGCTCTGCGAAGAAAGACTGTCACCGTCTCATGCATGACACTGGTACAGGACTCGCATCACCAGGTAGGTGGGAACTGGCTTGACAAGACATGAGGTGGGCTGCAATACTGGGCTGACTGATGTTGGACCATCTTACCAGACCCGGCTGCATTTCTTGCTACGTTGAGGCAGCAGACCATGAGCTACTACTTTCAATCGCTTACATGATAAGCGCCCAAACTCCTTTCTAACCCTAAGGTAGCAAATTAAAATTGGGCAAACAACGTTGTCGTATCGCATAACGATCTCATTTTTTTGTCTAACAAGGGAACCGTGTCAAGTCGAAGTGGCCTTTCCAGATGAGACCCATACTGCTTTGAAGAGTATTAATCGGTAATTCCGAATCTGCTTTCCAAATCTGCCAAGCGCCTCTGGACGCCAAGTTATGCTCGTTTTTCAGGTCAAAAAATTGAACGCAAAACTTAAGCAAAATCGCCCAAATTTGCTCAAATGGTCCAGTGTCGAGTATCAGAGCTGTTTATGCAATGGATATATCTTATTTAATTTGCTAATACTTAACATTGCTTTATCTGAGCGCTGGAAAGATTGTAACAACCAATTTCACCTAAATTCTGCATTCATTTTTCGTTCCGAAGAACAGTCATAATTCGGCGTCCAGAGGCGCTTGGCAGATTTGGAAGGCAGATTTGGAATCACCGCTTGATACCCTTCAAAGCAGTATGGGTCTCATCTGGAAAGGCCACTTCGACTCGACACGGTTCCCTTGTAAGGTCAGGGCTCGAATCAATTTCTGAAAACGAAGCCCTCTTTGACTTACCTACTTAGGAAAAGATGAAAACAAGAAAGAACTACTAGTCTGAAAGAAAAAACGTGAGATAGGAGTGCAACTCCAAACTGGAGCTGAATAACGCATGAAGTTTGGCATTAGAGCGCGATACTAAACAGCGATTTATGAAGAAATTAAGGCAAAAACAAAGAAAAGGCAATGACATGAAAATGCCTCCATGCTCAATGATAGATTTCTGACCAGGACTCCGTCCATGATAGGAAAATTCGGAACTTAGTGACAGAGATATATGCTCCAAACGATCTGAGACCTTCTGGTGACCGTCTGGATACGGAATAATTTTGCAGAACTGTTGGAGTACTTCACATAAGTTTTTAAATCTTTTTGCTTAATTCTTTTGCAAATAATTTTCGATGTATACAGCTCAATTTTGGTGTCACATGGATCTGTGTGCGCTGTAAACAAGCAATTTGTTTATTTTAGCCTTGCTTTTGAATCGCGCGCACTTTTTGCCGTACACGATAGAGCATGTTGTAGTTGTACTGCAGATGACATTATACATGTTTTTTTTATGTTGGCTGATCCGTGAAAGGCCTTGCCCTCGAAAGGCAGACGACTCGAACTTTGCATAGTCCTCAATATGTAAACAAATCAGGAATGTTATAAATCACCATCCTTCAAGCGGTTTGAATAGTTGTTTGCACGACAGGTAAAAAAAGAGGATAAGTGAGCATGCTGATTACTCACACAGCGGTAATAGGGAACTGCATGTAGAAGTGCACAGGTAAAGGTGTACAAGGATAAAAATGGAACCTTTATCGTTTTTGACAGGGTCGGGCGGAGGCGGATAAGCCAGCTAGTTGCTTTATAAAAGCGGATTTATAAATCTTTTTCTCTGCGCTAACACTGTACGATCTTGCTTGTTTGTTATCAAAAACTTTACATTTTGAAACCATTGTGGATCTTTATCCTCAGAATCTGCGAGTATTTAACATTCTTGACTTTATCTATGAAAGGAAATAAACGGTGACTCACACAAGTATATGCTGAGGACCGCGATCATGTACAGAGGTACAATCCTTTTGAACCTGCGACAATAAAAAGTACAAATAGATTCCAACGTCAGCTTTTTCCGAAAGAGTATTTGGGTCATAAGAAAGCCAGACAGCACAAAGAAGCTAAATTGAATTGTATTAGCAAATGCAAACTTACGAAGGAAACTACCTAACTTGGCTCGCGCTTTTGGAATAAGACACATGTATTTGGAATCAGCTTCGAACGCTGATGCCAAATATGCTGTTCCCACCGCGCATCATTCGCAACGGAGTTACGAGGTTTCCTCCCCTATGACTCGCTCTACCGGCAAGTCTAGTGGAAACACGACAATGACTACCAGAGGTCGTGTGGTGGGATGGTGTCTCGCTCCATAAGCTGATGGTCTGGGGTTCGAGTCCTATTGCATGTCTGTCGTTTCGCAAAGGTAGTCCAAAAACCCAAACATGCTTCACAAGTGTTAGATCATGCCTACGTGCATCTGGTGGGTGGGGTTATCATAAATGGAAGATGTTCTCCCCCGAGCCCGCTCAAAAATCATTTGCAATCGAAAAAGAGGCAGCATTTGAGAAATTCAAAATGTAAAGTTTCTATGATGAAACTAGTACGCCGCAGTCTGAATACACTGGTAACAAAAGTATATTTTGAACACTGTTGGGGACTTGCAAAATGAAAAACACGCAATAGGAATCGAGACCGGAACCGTCAGCTTATGGAGCGAGACACTTACCATTTCACCACACAATCTCTAGTATTCATTGTCGTGTTTTCCCTAGACTAGCCGGTAGAGCGAGTCATACGGGAGGAGGCCTCATAACTCCGTTGCGAATAGTGCGCGGCAGCTGGGAACAGCATATTTGGCATTAGTGAAAGCTGATTCCAAGTATATGTGTTTTATTCCAAAAGCGCGAGCTAAGTTAGATAGTTTCCCTCTTTAGTATTGCACAAATTACATATCTACGCCAACAAATCCATGGCGGAAGGATGTTGGTTTTAAGTGCATTAAAAGCACGAGCAAAATTGCAATTCCTCTCAAGCCCTGCAGATTTTCTCGTTTGCTTTTTCTAAAATTGCACAACATTCGTTCACGATACAGAAGGTTTCAAATTATTACATACACAGATTCACTGGATTCACAGCCTTTCATGGCAGCTTGCTGAAACAATAGCATTAGTCGGTTTAAAGGCAGCGTCCAGGCAAATCTGGACATATGGGGCTTTCATGTGTACAGTAATCTCGGGTCCCTAACTGAGCCACTGCCCAAGCGGCAGCTCAGGTAGTGCTTAAACGGCCGAGATATTCGTCTTGAAACTGGACCCGGAATCGTATTTCGCACGATTTCATGGCGCAACCCATGGGTCCTCGCGCGAAATTAGTTTGCGACATGAATCCATGCAAAATACGATTCCGAGGTCCAGTTTCGAGGCAATTTTCTCAGCCGTTAGTGCGCTACTTAAGCTGCCGGTTGGGCAGTGGCTTAGTTAGGGCCCCAAGAACTATCCACGTGAGAGCTCCATAGTCCAGATTTGCCTGAACGCTGCCTTTAACGAAAGACTTTGACAAGGTTCATTACCCAAACATCAGGATACGAAAGAACACTCTATCAAATATGTTTTATATGAAAAATAAGAGGCGATGTGATTAAATGACAGAACAAATCAAGACCTTTCTGCAACGCTTTAGCACGATAGCCTAATTTCACTTGCGCGCCGCGCATTTTGCTTTGTTAATTGCAAGCAGCTTTTTCGCCGTTGTGCCTCGAGAAACAATTCCTAGGTAAGGCACTGCAAAGTGGAGGGTTTAGGTGCGAAGTTTTTCCTTGTAGGCTGCACTATTGCAGAAAAAAATATTGTGTGTACTACCAATCAAAGTAAGGCATCCGCATCCGAATCAATAGCTCAATGGTGCAGGGCTGAGACCCCTAGGTTCAACGTAGGCCCATCCGCGGCCGAGTTGAGCTGAACAGGGGTACAGGGGCCATTATAGCCATCAGTTTTTGGAATCATCCTTACTTTTTCGATTTTATTGTTTTTTTTTGCAAAGTTTGAGCTTCGGGGCTGGGGATTAGCGAAGAAGGTAGGTGAGCATACTGATTACTAACACACCAGGAATAGGAAATTGCATGTAGGAGTGGGCACAGGGAAAGGTTGTACAGGGATAGGAATGGAACCTTTATCGTTTTTTTGACAAAGCCGGGCGGAGCCGGGTAAGCCAGCTAGAATTATATAATTCAAACTATGTGGGTGTGTTCGTTTGGTTGTTCGTTCGTCATAGAAACGCCAGTCAATCAATAAATTGAGCTGAGACTTTACACAAGTATGTTTCCGACCCCTGCGGTAGTTTAGAACTACTTCTCGGCGATTCACTAGGTCCTTCTATCAATTTATTGATCATTTGCCGTTTGCAATGGAAATAGATTGCTACCAAGCTAGCAGTTCATTTGCATGAAGTAAGCAACGTGAATCTCATTGTTATTCTCTGCCGAAGATGGCCGGTCAAAAGTACTGACTAAGAATTTTGTTATTTGTATGATTCTTATGAGACTCATCTGATCTACTACTGTGGTTTTCGTCCCAGCAGAACAAGGTGAAACACATTGAGCATCAATCTCCTACAAAACTGTTAACTTTAATCTTTTCATGGTTCTTTGTCTTGTCCCCTAAAAATCTGTGGGAATTGAACGGGAAATTCGATAAGGGAAATGAGAAAAAGGAACAAATGTTACTGCTTTCAAAGGAGGGAGCGGAGTAGTAAATGTAGTCCAAACACTGAACCACTTCTTGAAATTGAAACGAGATTTGATCAAATTTTAGCTGTTTGTACCCTGCAGCTCGCTATGCGCCATACTCAATAGCAAATTCAAAAAGATTGCAACCGCTTGGATGAAACGAGAGAAAAGAGGTTGAGTTTTCTCGACGTACCGTTCAATAAATCTCAGTGCAAAAATAAACTTTTTGATGTGAGTGATAACCGCTACATAATGTGTGCCTTTCAGTGAAACCAATTTTCTTTCACAGATTTCCAAGATGCCTTTGAAAAGAACATGTAGCGTGAAAGTCGAAAGTAGTAGATTCAAAATATCACAACCAACTAAAAAAAGCATACGTTTGCTAAATGTGAAAAAACTGAGGTGATCATGTTGCTGCCGTTTGTGTTTTGTTGTTTTTGGATTGAGTGCTCAGAATTTATTTGCTGTGATATTTTAGCAATTTTATGAAGTTTCATTCCAAAGATGACCTAAATTTTCTCAAATATAAAAAATTTGTCCAAGCAATTGAGCCGAGCGGAGCCGGGTGTGCCAACTAACTAGTTCAATATAAGCGGTACACCTAAAAACTCTCTTCCGAACACCTTGTTTGCACGCACGCGTATATACTAACGTAACAAAAGTATTATGTGTCGAACGTGATAAATTTGATAATTGCTGTGGTTGCGAGAAATCATTTCAAACCTAACTACTAGAAAGGAGGAAAAGTGCATTGAACACCGTTGAAAATGATGTCCCATCCCATTTCCTGTAATTTTCCGATAGCATAAATGACTAATGAATAAAGTTCCGAAGTGGTATGTCACGTAATTGGGAAAAACAGCTAAAAATCTTGTTATGCGTTTGGCTATCTCATTCGACAGAAAAATGATGAAATCGGATGTAATAATTAAACCGGAGTTTTGTACTCTATTTGAGCGAATATTATTGTGTCAAACAAAATGACAGCTAAAGAGCACAATAACACTAACAATTCGATTTCCAAGCAAAGTCTTTGAATAGCTGTACTCTCTTTTAAAGTACATCATTTTGTTATTCTTTTCTCGGCTCCAATATTTTTGCGTACCCTACGATAATTATCTTCAGCTTCACATCAAGTAAAAAATGAATGTTTAGATCTAAAGAGGAGAGCTATCTAACTTAGCTCGCGCTTTCGGAATAAGACACATACATTTGGAATCAGCCTGGAACGCTGATGCCAAATATGCTGTTCCCAGGTGCCGCGCATCATTCGCAACGGAGTTACGTGGACCTTCTTCCGTACGAGTCCTCTACCGGCAAGTGTAGGGGAAACTCGACAATGGCCAACACAGGTCGTGTGGTAAAGTGGTAAGTTTCTCGCTTTGTACCCTGAGGGTCCGGGGTTCGAGTCTTGTGGGACGTCTTTCGTTTTGCAAAGGTAGTCCACAAACCCAAACATGATCCACAAGTGGTACGTACGTACGTACGCCCCAATCTGATCTTGAATTCACTTTTAGGCTGACTAATGAACACTTTCGAGGGCTTGCAAGACGAAAAACGTCCAAGAGGACTCGAACCCCAGACATTCAACGTACAAAGCGAGAGACTTACTACTTTACCACACAACTTCTGTTGTTCATTGTCGAGTTTCCCTAAACTAGCCGGTGGAAGAGTCATACGGAAGGAGGTCCTCGTAACTCCGTTCCGAATGATGCTGGCATCTGGGAACAGCATATTTGGTATCAGCGTTCCAGGCTGATTCCAAAATATATGTGTATTATTCCGAAAGCGCGAGCTAAGTTAGGTAGCTTCCCTTGTAAGCTACTGAAAATGGGGAAGACATTGACCGAACGAAGCGAGCTGATGTTCTTCAAATCTTGCCAGAAAACTCTTCAACTTATCTATTGTTTCACCCTTATTTGAAGGATTCAAATCTACTAAAAGCTTGTCCATTTCTTGCTTTGCAACTTAGAATTGTTATAAAAGTTTCTTTCTGGTATTTTATTAGCAAAATCAATGTGTATTCTTTCATTGATTCGTTCAATTTGCACAAAATCGGTATATCTCTTTATTTGACCGACGTTTCGGCTATATTGCCTTTCGTGGTCTGTTAGCGAATCAAAAGAGTATTAAAAAAATGTGTATTCTGTCGTTGAGACTGTAATAACATGTTTTTTCTGCTACAGAAAGCTGTTTCTTTTTCGTAGACTGACAAACTGATAGTGCTTTGCAAAAACTGCGAAAATGTGAATAGGGACTAGATGCTTAGATATGAAAAGCATTGTTGACGTCAACACGTTTTGGTCAAAAGTCACGCACTGGTTATCTAACGACAACAAATGTTTATGATCTTTAAAAAAGAAATTTTGATAGTTTTCAAATTTTTTTATCTGCCATACACATACTAGTTTGTAGGTCATATGCACGCTGCCGCGATTATGCTCATGTTTTGAGATCGGTCTGTATGTGAACGCTGCTTGCTGCTATGCTTAAGATAGAAAGTGTGGAGTGCCTTTTTTACTTGTCCACACGATGACGATGACGCAACATCTTCATCTATATGGCCATTAATTTGATTTTTTCTGATAAGCAGCTTTCACTGTAACGCTGTTTTTCCAAAGATTCCAGAGATGCCTTTTGGTGCCTGAGCACATCGACGCCACTTGGCCGACTGTTGTAAACATTTCTGCCGCCTATTATTGTCGTTAGGTTACAAGAGCTACAGTGTTAGCTGTTCTCGAAAAAATCCGTTTCTTGAATGTTACCTTCGTAGAACTCGCTCAATATCTGTATCTGGTGAAGGTAGTGCTGTATGTTAACGTTGTATATTGCTAATCTTATTTGTTCAAGTTTGTCGTGAAAAAATTTTTCATACTGTTGATGTTTACGTTAACGCACTTTGCGTGCATGAAGTAAATGAATTAATGGGTCTATTTTCAATTTTACATGTTAATTAATTGACGGCATTTGAGCAAATTAAAGGATCATTGACGATTTCTAGAAGGGGTATAAAGTTCATAAATTCCGAGAAAATATCTAGCAGATACGTTAAGCTTGAGCAAACATAACAAAGTGAGGAGTGTTGAAGCATTTGCCAATGTGCTTGCAGGGAATCAAGGTAGTGAGGTTGAGAATGGTTGAGAAATCAGTCCTTACGATACACCCTACCATAACGCTTCGTTAAAAAAAGTTATGGCAGGTGGGCAGTGGCCGTTTTCTCAATGTTTCTAAAAATGCTTTACACCGTTTCGAAGCTTCACAGCACAGCGTCAATCAAAACTCTTCTACACAAGTTTTCGATTCTTGCGTAATTGGGCAATAAGTCTTTTGTCCTTTCTTGTCTCGGCTTACTTGAAACTGTGCTAGTATTGCTTTGCCAGCACGAGATTTGGGTGAAGCTTTATCATCATCAGTGGCCTAGCGTTTCGA